GGGGAATTTATGAAGACTGGAGCAGACAGAATCTGGAAGAGTTGTCCATAGTAACCTATCGGCTTCGGTTTGTTCAGATTTTGTCTGCTCCAGTTTTGATTCTCCTCCCCTAATGAAACCTGGATTTGGAGCAGGAGAGTGAGGGAGAAGAAAAACTCAGGGGAGGGTGGAATGTTTTTTGCACACAGGTCTCAAAGTGTAATAAATCCAAAAAGCGTTTCTTATGATGTGTATCTGAACTGATTAATCCCAACATTTGATTATGGTTTAAAGAAGAACTCCAGATTTTAGAAACATTAACCCTTGCAGTGGGACTACAATCCTCCTCCCACCGCCCCCACCCTTCATGCAAGGTTAAGTCCTCACTTTTCCTCTAGGGGCTCAAAAGAAGATATACTCTCCCAATCCTCAATCTTGGGCAGTGCCCCCCTGCTCACCCTTCTGCTCCAACTGTGGTATGTCCATCAGCGTCCTCACGTCTATTAAGGTGAGTGGACTGTACTAGACGTGATGACATCAGTGGGGCTTAGACTGCTAAAGCCCGGGGTAGAAGGGTCTGTGCGGACCGGTCTAGCAGCCAGGCGAGATTAAGGATCAGATAAGTTTCTTTGAGCCCTTGGAGTTCTTGGATTTTTGCAGATGGTAAAAAGTCTTCCAAAACCAGGTTTCTGTGATGGGTGCTCTAGGGGATGTGAATGTCTACATGCAGGGTGTTGCGTCATTCACACTCAATATAGGTTCCTTTTTTGTGTTCTCAAGATAACGTCTACATGTCTTAACTTTTTTTTTTTTTTTCTCTTTTTTTAATTTAGCAGTCAAAGGAGCAGTAAATTATTCGCTGGAAACTGAAAAGGACAAATGACACACACCCTGAAGTTAATTAAACATTCTCCAATTTAAAGACTGATTGATTTATCTTTTCTTCTTCCTAAATATCTGTTTTTCTGTCCAATATTCTCCAGAGTTTGCATACTGAAATGTACCACCGAATTCTGTTATATTCGATCAGTGTAGGATTTATGAAGTGAAAGTCTGTACTTAGGGTGTACTACTTGAATGGCTTGTTGCTGGGAATCATCTGCGATTTATGAATATTTACCAAGAAGCCATTTCATTTATCTATTTATTACTAGACATTGCTCCTAACAAAGAAGATCTCTTGGTTAAGTAGAGATGCAAAGATGATATACATCTCTGCCACAATCCCAGTGAACAGGTTATTTGAAGATCCTACATTAGTCTTGTAGCAGCCATTGCCCTGGCATGCGTTTTCAGTAAGAGGATTTCCCATTAAATGAATCTTCTGACAAGCCGTTCACAATGCTTACAGCACTTCCAGAATCTGATGCTGAGCAGCACATGACATTTAGCTGAGCCACCTAGTGGTACGGGAACAGCAGGGTGCCCAGTTTGTATTTCTGTCTCCAAAGAAATCTTAAGCCTGATCGCTATAGTCTGTACAATTAATATAGAATACAAAGTGTTTTCCTTGGATGCACTATTACGCTGTACTGTGAATTGTACTGGTAAAATAATAAAAATGTGTTCTTGTAGATTGTGTGCAATATTCTAGTGTGTGTGTGTGTAAAAATAACCATGGAGGGATGCATTTTTACAGTGCTTTTAGTAAATTTTGCTTGAGTATACATTTAAAGCTGAACTCTAGTTGAAACTACATGTACGGTATAATTATGTAGTGGATGCTGCACAGCTAAGGATACTTGGGGTGTTGTGGTAAGCATTTCTGCCTTGCCGCACTGGGGGTCCCTGGTTCAAATCCCGGTCAGGATACTACTGCAAAGAAATTCCATGTTCTCCTTGTCCTTGTGTGGTTTTCCTCTGACTCTGGTTTCCTCCCACACTCCAAAGACATGCTGGTAGGTAAATTGGCCCATGTATGTATGTATGTATGTATGTATGTATGCATGTGAGATAGTGACCTTAGATTGTAGGTTCCTTGAGGGCAGGGGCTGATGTGAATTTGCAGCACTGCGCCAATTGTCGGCGCTATATAAATATTGCATGTTTTGTCAAGGAATAAGTGGGAGCATTTTAACCTATTCCTTGCTCCTACAGGCTTCTCTCTGCCATATGACTAGTCCATACAAACTGGCCCTCTTTGCCAGTCATCTAATCTAGTCAACTACGTGAGAATGGTGAGGGCCTGCCCATGTATCAATACTCGAGGTCAGCACTGGATGGCAGAATAACAAGGAATACAGTGAATATTCCGGCTTATTTACCCTGTAGACAAAACAAGCAATTGACCCTTTCAAATTTATAGTGTACACACACACACCTTTTTTGCACATTCTATTTTTTTTTCCCTCTCCCACTCACTGTCTTCGTGACTGTCCGAATGTGGCAGGGTACAATTTGGAGGGAAAAATCTGCCTGATGGTAATTAGGCAGAGACTACGTTTCTTTGCTTCTATACGTGCCCCATTTGTACCGGAACGGGATGACAGTACATTGCCTGAATGTAGACGCATAGAGTGATAAAACCTTACAGATGTGCCAACCCTTCCCTATGCAAAAGTAGAGCAAAAAAAGGTTTAACTGGGCTCAACACTGTGGGGGGCATTTATCAATTTGGTTGCATCATCTGCTACTTTTAAACTGTTGCGTCCCTGATTTCTAGTGCATATGACGAGAGATTTATTATCCTATATAGTTTTGTTTATATAATTCATGTTTCATTCTGAAATGCCTTCATGTGGAGAATTATCTGTAAGCTTGCTGGGAACATTCTGGATAACGCCTGAATAGCCTTGAAGTGCTTAGCTGACTTAAAGGAATGGTGCTGAATTATCTTTGGACTATTTTAAGAAGTGCTCAGGAAGACTTCTAGAATTTGCGACAGTTTGGAGGGTTTTCAATGTCGCAAATGCTGGACACAGTTACTGTGCCGTTGAGAAATTATGCGAAATGTCGCAAACATTAAAACGTTGCAAGAGCTTTTGGTTGGTTAGCATGAGTCTTTGCGTCGCAAAGACCAAATTTACATTTTTCAAGCTACAGGCCTTTTGCTACAACGCTCAGATGTGAACAGGGATCATTGAAAACCATGGGGATTCCGCCTGTTTAGTGTTGTTGTGCTTAAAGCAACACTATACTATAGAGCTGCAGCTAACGATTATTTTCAAAATCGATTAGTTAGCAGATTATTAAGTTCGATTAATCAGTTAATCGGATAAAAAGTCATATACATTTTAAAAAATGGCTCCAGGGATGGACCACTAGTTTGTATTGAGAATGCAGTCCATCACAGGAGCAAGCTTGGAGAGGTGGAAGTGAAAAATAAAAAAAAGTGTGGTGTGCAATATAGTGAAATGGAAAGTGTAAAATTATACAGCAATGAATGCAGAATGGCACCGGCTATAGGAGGAATACAACAAATCCCAGCAATAGTACCTTTATAGCTGGTGGTATTCTGCATTGCGCTGTACTATTGCTGGGTTTTGTATTCCTCTATAGCTGGTGGTATTTGGCATTGCACCAGTGTATAATATACTATTGCTGGGTTTTGTAGTCCTCTATAGCTGGTGGTATTCTGCATTGTACAACAGAAAGGGGGACAGATTGGAGTTACGCTGAACCAAAAAATAAAATATAGTATGCTATACCAGTCTCCAGGGTTTCAACAATGATAATCAAAATATAAGGTGTCCCCAAAAGAATAGAAATCCCTTACTCTGAGCCGGTTCAATAAACAGGTAGATAATACATGATTTGACAGTTAGAATATTTAATCATAGAAAAAAAAAATTTTCCTTTACATCCACAACAAGACATTTAAAAACAGTTAAAAAACTTCCATAAGGTAACAAATATAAGAATCATGGGTGATCTACAATCAAACTGGAGTGATACTATGGAGTAGCCACCTACTATACAGATATCTCATGTGTGGGTACAATGTATCCCGGGTTACTCACAGCTCATGTTGCTCAGGGAGGGACAGTCCTGCTCGGGTTCCAAAATGCTGGATGATATGTTTGCTTCAATAGGTAATTGTAATAGGAAGCAGGAGATGGGGATAAATAGGCTGGGCTGGAAATTCAAATGCCCCTGCCTTTTTCCCTTGCTTGGGGCTCTCACTGGCCCTCTGGCTCGAATTTCAAATTTGAGAGCTAACCCAGAGGCATTTCCATATAGATGTGTGCGGCCGCACAGTAAAGCGAAAAAGGTGTCTGTAGGAGTCTCAGAGGTAAGCAATTCCCAATAGAAGGATTGTGCAGAGTACAGCAAGTTGTCATCCGGTCATTTCACTCAGACTCTGCTGGATGCATTAAGGATTCCAATGCAGGCTTTTAGATCCAATCCCAAACGGCTGGGCTCCGTCTCAGCACCGTCAAAGCCCAAGCTGACAATGATAATGCCGCGGCTGATGTGCGAGATGAGCTTTGATAAGTGTGCAGGGAAGTTTGAATAGCACACATAACCCTGACGCGTTTCCTCCCCGCTCAGGGGCTTCTTCAGAGGGGTGTGTGCTTTAGGTCTTGTAGGGATGCAATAAATAGCCGGTTGATGAAGCTAATTGATTTGCACTGTATAATGTACTATTGCTGGGATTTGTAGTCCTCTATACAGTGCAATGCAGACTACCACCGGTCTATATAGGAGTACAACAAATCCCAGCAATACATTATACATACACTGTATAATGTATTGCTGGGATTTGTATTCCTCTGTATAATATACAGCACAATGTACCATCAGATATATAGGAATACAAATCCCAGCAATACATTATAGAGCACCATGTGTGGGGAAAGTGCAGGCTTACCTGAGCAGTCTTCCAGCAACTTGTTTCTGAGATCGGGCCTGTCTATCGGCTGCTGTCATCCCCCCACACCTGCTCCTCCTTACTTTTTCTCCCCGCGTCCCTGTGCCAATCGAGGATGCGGGCGGTGATGGTGAGGAGGTGCGGCGGGTGGGCGGGCCTGGCAGTGGCGAGCGTGAGGTGGGGAGGAAGTGTGGCGCGCAGCGTGTGTGGAGCCGCGAACAGGGCCAACCAATCAGAAGCCGATTAATCGATGATTAAAAAAGTTGACAACTTTTTCAATCATCGATTATTCTCGATTATGTCGATTAGTTGTTGCAGCCCTACTATACTAAAAAATTGTGTCCAAATGTGCTGTAATCTGCCTGAAAAAAAAGCTAATTTACTCTTTCCAGCGCTCTACGTTTTGCAGCTTGCAACAAAGCTCTAAGGTGGGATTTCTTGGGTTGAGAGTTTTGTCTCGCTTAGCTTTGAGCATCAAAACACCTAGGTGTGAACAGGGACTTGCAGCCCTTGCTTTGGCTTCACTGATGGTTTTCATGAAACTGGAGAACATGGGGTAAGCTGACACATCAATCTAAAAGGAGCATAGCTATTTTACTGCCATGTGTTGTAAATGACAACTGTGATAAGAAAATCAACAAACAATGATTTGTGCTGAGAAATCTGGCTAGCAATACTGTAGTCCCTTGCCATGTTCTTATGGTGCAGTTTGCACATCCAGGAACTGATAAACAGAAAAGGGATTTAGTGCAGAATAACACTCATGGCAGTTAAAATCTATCTCTATCAGATGAAGAAGAGGGACACAGGGATTTGAGTCCAAAACAGGGACAGTCCCTCCATATTAGGGACAGTTGGTATGTATGTTACTAAACCCCATAAGACTTTCTATGGCTTAATATTAAATTAGACAGGACTTCAACTGATGGACAACCTTTTGGAAGTTGACTGGCATGTCTACACTTCTTTAACTGGATTGATAATATCTGAAAGCGTAGCTGTATCTATTAATATCGTCACCTAAATAAACCATCCCACCACCCTGAAGCTATGCTGTGCCAATCATCTCTGCGGGTGCTTACTTACCTCTGATCCAATGCAGATGCCTTCTCTGTTTACATACATTTTATTGAAAATCTGTTTGGGTAATGGCTGTCTGTGTACTGTGTTCCCATAGGCTTGAACAGGCCGTACACCAAATTTTGGTATATGGCTCCATTAAAGCTAATTGGGACACATCATGCTGGCATGGCCAGGG